CTTTATAGCAGCATGATTTATAATCCTTTGGGTATATACCCAGTAATGGGATGACTAGGTTCTAGATCCTTGAGGAATCACTACACTGTCTTCCACAATGGTTGAACTAGTTTATAGTCCCACCAACAGTGTAAAACTGTTCCTGAAACTGGATCCCTTCCTTCAGGAACTATTTTAAGGCAGGCCTGGTGGTGACAAAATCTCTCAGCATTTGCTTGTCTGTAAAGGATTTTATTACTCCTTCACTTATGAAGCTTAGTTTGGCTGGATATGAAATTCTGGGTTGAAAATTCTTTCCTTTAAGAATGTTGAATGTTGACCCCTACTCTCTTCTGGTTTGTAGGGTTTCTGCAGAGAGATCTGCTGTTAGTCTGATGGGCTTCTCTTCGCTGGTACCTTGCCCTTTACCTCTGGCTGCCCTTTACATTTTTTCCTTCATTTCAACCTTGGTGAATCTGACAATTATGTATCTTGTGGTTGTTCTTCTCACGGAGTATCTTAGTGGTGTCTTCTGTATTTTCTGAATTTGAACATTGGCCTATCTTGCTAGATTGGGGAAGTTCTCTTGGAGCATATCCTGAAGTATGTTTTCCAACTTGGTTGCATTTTCCCCATCACTTTCAGGTACATCAATCACTGGAAGGTTTGGTCTTTTCACATAGTCCCATATTTCTTGGAGGCTTTGTTTATTCTTTTTTTCTTAAAGATGTATCAATGGTGTTTGTTAGGTAGGGCCCTTTGGCTTTGATTCAAGGTGCATGCAGTGGTGTAGTCTCTTTATGATTTCTTTAGCTATAGACAACATCAGTGGGACCTGTGATTTCCTTGGTGGTTTAGGATATGGTTATAAGGGGTAGCTATGGTGAAATTTTGCTAGAGACAGAGATGCAAGCTGGGCCAGTCTTCAGACTCTGGTGGAGGTATTGGTGGGCTAAAGCATGTCTCATCTTGGGCCTCAAGGCAGCATATGGCTCACACTGCTGTTAGTGGGACCAGCAGGCTGATTATTGAGCCTTCAGGTGGTTTGCTCTGATGCCAGTGGTGAGCCAGGTTGGTGAGCAGGTTATTGGATGTCTAGGTTGCCAGCATGGTGTGATGGCAGTAGCAGTGGTGAGTAGCAGTATTCATCTCTGTGTCCTGAGTGATGAATACTGTTGCTGGTGATGAATAAAGTGACTGTGGTGCGGGGTCTCTATCCATAGCCCCAGACACTCTCCCACATTCAGTAGCAGTGCTACAGTGCCACCCAGATGTGGGGCAAGACCCCATGCTTCACACGTAACCCTGGACATGGAGATCACACCACCAGTGGGGGTGCAGTCACCACCCACAGACCCAGACATGCAGTCCTTGGTTTGCCTGCCCCAGTGTCTGAGGGCAGCAGCAGTAGCTATATCTGCAGTGGTGTGTGGAGGGAGAGAAGGGGTCCTAATTTCCATACATGAGCCTGAATGCAGAAGTCACCCTGTCTGTGAGATGGGATCTCATTATTTGCTTGCAAGGCTAAGCACAGAATTTTTGCCACTTCCTAAATTGAAGTGAAGTCACTTCTTACAGCCTCAAATAGGGAGCCCTCAAGCTCTGGAAACACACACTTTGGTTTCCTTTGTCCCAGGGTCTGCCTTTTTTTGTGCACTTACTGTCCTTTCACCTGGGAGTAGTACTCCCTGTGGCCTAGAGTAATGGGAACCACATAGCATCTTAGGATCCAGCCAATGCTCTCCCACTGTAGCCCTCCGGGTAGACACTGGGGTGTGTCAGTGGGAACTCTCAGGATACAGAGATATAGGGGCTATGGTTCCCAGGGTAGGAAGCAGTCCTGTGATGACTGTGCTCTCACAATGGAGCCATTTTTTTTAAGTTAAATTATGTTTTTGAAAATGTTCTGAGAACTTCTCCGTTCTCTCCTTAGAAAGTCTTATGAGAAAGATTCTATTTTCAGGTCTCTTAACTGTCCCAGATTTTTTATTCTACTTTTTTTTTTTTTAATAATTCTGTGCTGCCACTCTGGGCAATTCCCTCACCACTACCTTCCAGATTACTAATTCTAGCCTTAGCTGAGGCTAATCTGCTATTTAATCCATTCACTGAGTGCATATATTTTATTTCAATTATATTTGTAAATATCAAATATAGCTAATTTTGTTCTCTTTTCAATCCACTTTTTCCAAATATTTGTATTTCTGCCTCATTTCTGTTTTATAGAATTTTGTTCTATCTTACATTTTGTTCTTTTGTGGCAGTTTTTATGCCTTTCTTTATAGTTTTACAGGTTTTATACCCACTAGATTTGTTTTATAGTCTCAATATAGCTCTGTTATCCCAAGTTTGGCTTCTCTTTGTTATAACTGATGATTCATACATGGTACTTTTTTCATTGATTTCTGTTATGATTTATTTGTAACTGCAAGTTCCTTTTTAGCAAACTAAAGCTTGTATTTTTTTTTCCTATACCAAATATAATACAGCCGGGACTTTAAGAAGGTGGTTTTAGAGTAGTATTACTTATTTCCAAGAGTATCTCTGGATGAGGACATCTTTTTTTTTTTTTTTTTTTTTTAACCTCTTGAACTGGGGATTTTTGCAGGACAGAGACAGGTATATCACCCGAGGCACAGGCTTAAGGTCTTGATTTCTCAAAGGGAGACATTTTTTCCTCACCTAAATTTACATCAGGATAAAATGTTTATTTTATTTTCTGCTGCAGCTGGAGGTCACGGTATGTCTAATATTCCTTTATCTTTTGAAAAGCCCTTTGTAGCTTCAAGATTTATTGTAGCAGTCTGTTTTAACTCACACCCCTAAAGTGAACACAGGATCAGCTTTTGCTCCTAATCCCAGCTTTTGTCCCCTTTCTGTTTGTGCCGCAGGGGTTTTCTTATCTTTCATGAGAACACAGATGATTCATCCATATTATTCAGTGCCTCCACTTGTTTGTAGAGATAAAAGAAAAGTTTCTGCATCACTTGAAATGGCAATTTTATGGAAAGAGGTTTTGTTGTTAGTTTACTATACTAACAATGCTAGATATAAGTGAATTTTAATGGAAAATGGGGAATATGTTTAAACATATATGTGGGTGGACATGGTACAAAATAGAGAAAGCATGGCCAACATCAGTATTTTGAAAGTGCAAATAAACAAAACTATCACCATGGCCAACATCAGTATTTTGAAAGAGGAAATGAACAAGACTATCACCAATATTTACAGACATCTTGTAGAGTTTTGTATATCCCCATAGGCATATGACTGAGAGCTCAAGTCAATCTTCATTACCAAGACTAAGTATAGCTCTCTAAAGTAATTTAAAAATGACTCCAAATGATGGTGCTGAATTACTGTGTTATAATAACCTGCAAAAGGGAAAATAATGATTCTTATATTGATCTGTGAAAGAGAAAAACACAAGTGCAGAAGTTTTAGGAATTCTTTTACATTATAATCCATAGTTAGCAACAGAATATAGTTAACTTGCAAATCCTAGTACTATATTTCAATGTATTTTTAAAATAATTAAATTGAATTTTCAGTTAAATAAAAGATTGGAAAGTATAGCACACTAATATGATGTAATCCAATTTCTAATTACTATATTGATATAATGTGAGTTACCATATGAATGTAACAAACTCACACTGCACTAACTTTCACGCAACTTCACGCATTTAAAAGAAATTGTCAGTAATACCCAACATCACATTTTAACAAAAAATGTGAGCTTCATTAATTAAGCTTAGGTAATGTTACCACACTGTATTCCTGTGTGGGATGTAGGGTAAATCACTCATTTCATTAGTTCTAATGAGGTGCATGTTTATGCATACACACACATTAATCTTATAATTTTTGTGGACTTTATAGATGAGTAAACAGAGATTAAGAGGTTAAAATTTTAAAAAATTTATGAAATTACAAAATAATTCCAGCAAAGCCAAGCTACCTAAGTAGGCCTCCTAATACTAGATAGAAGTTATTTTTACTAGACCAGTAATTCTCAGCATCCCTGTAAATCTAGGGGTCTCAGACATCCTTTGAGCAGGTCCCTGAGGTCAAAACTACTCTCATAAAAATACAAAATGTTATTTGCCTTTTTCAATTTGTTGATATTTTCACTGATAGTACCAATGCCATTGTGGGTAAAGCTGCTAGCACCAAACATGGACGTGATTCCAGATTTTTCTAGTAGTTACCGTTTTCCTCACTGGCACACAGGAAGTTTTTTCTTAAGTCAGTTTCATTAAGAATGAAAGCAGTAAAAATAATTTTTATATGAAGCAGTATAATCATTATCTTTAATAAAATCTCAACCTTTGAATGCATCTTGTTTTAACACACTGTGTAATTACATGGGACTTATACATAAAGTACTTTTGTTACATATCAAAGGGTAATGATTGTGTCTAGAAAAAGCTAATGTTCATTGATTTCAATTGAAACTGAACTAACTCCCTTTCTCGGTAATGCTGTCCTCACTTAAAGAAATGACTAGCAGATACTATGGCTATTGAGACTTGGGTATGAGGTATTTGGTATTCTCAAAAATGAAAGAAGTAACTTTGTTACTCAAGGCAAGCAATTTACTATAATTATTGCCAATAGCAAAATCAAATCCTTGAAGTAAAAATTTGAATTTTGTGAAGGCTGTACCTACCACTCTGAGCTTTATATGTTCCTAATACTTAAAGATTTAGGTCAGCAGTTACATTAACAAATATGATTTGCTTTTCAATATTGTATAATAAAATGTGTCAACATTTGGAACATTGCATAACTTAATAAATCGGTATTTTCTAAATAAAATATGTTTGATATTTCAAAATTACAAAATGAATGAGTAAAATATCCATTGCAAGATGAATTTTAATGTAATAGTTTAGGCAAAGTTTACTAGTACAGTTAGAGCTTCCATATTGCAACTATCATTTGAAAAACTGTCAATTGATGAATTTGGGTGAAATACCATATAACAATATCCACAATTATCTAAAAATACTTACTCTTTTCAACTGCACATCTGAGTGATCCTGGATTCAAAACAATATATTGCAGCGGACTGAATTCAGAGGCAGATATCGGAATCCATTTGTCTATTAAGCCAAACACAAACAAGTTTTGCAAAAATGTGAAAAAACCCTTCTCATTATTATTTTTTAAATAATTATTTGTGAAATTAAGTATAAAATTTATTTTGCCAAGCAATAGTTTATTATTGTTGCTTTAAAATAAAATGTTAAATACCTGTTTTACATTTTTCTGATTTTAATTATTAATGTGGCAAATCTTAAGTCTTTTCAGAGTTTTTTATCTTTTAGGGTATAAAAGATGCCCAAGGCCAAAAAGTTTTGGGAAGGGCTGTATAGACTGAACTCCATGCCTTAAGAGGAAAACGAAGCCAATATATTCTTACAGAGAAGAGATACACGACAAAGCAACAACATACACCTTTCATTCCAACTCTGCTGAGTCATCGGTGGTACTCTTAGATCTTAGGCGGGTAACAAGGTGAGAATTTCAAATAATAAACTTTCTAAGATAAATTTATAAAAGCCCTTTTATAGCATTGATCCCCTATCTTAGTTCTTGGAAGTAATGAAATAGGGAAGTTTAAACAACTAAATTAAATACTAGTAACAGTTAAGTTGTATGAATTAAGTGTGTCAATAGTAAGTGTTAAAGGAAGAGATTGGAAAAACTGATTTTCCCAGTCACTCAAGGTGCTCAAACCGATCATGGGAACATGTAGTTTTATTTGTGTAGCAACTGATAAGATAAAATCAACAGAGACCAAAACTCCTTTCACAGTGTTATAGTGAATCATTAAACACGAAATGAGCCTCTAACCTTGCCCTGTTGGCATTTCTACTGGCCAGAGAAATACAACTTAAAGAAGAACATATAAGGTAAGTAATGTAAATGTACACTGTACTATGAAATGTATCCTGAAATGAAGTTTTCAATATTAAGATTGTTTGATTTATGTAATCAGAAATGCCTGAATAATTATAAAATTATTAATTAATAAAGTTTAAATCCTATAAACAAAGTCTTTCTGTATGTGTGTGTGTGTGTGTGTGTCTCTGTGTGTGTGTGTGTGTGTATTTTAATTTCAATGATAGTTTTCTTGGATAACAAATTGTTGAGAGAATAGAGTAAAGCGAGAATAATTACTACATCTGCAGGTGTTGGGTAAAAATTTTTTCAGATAAGAAAATTTTAAAAGAAAATTACTACAATAATTAAATTGTTGGTGATCTTGGTTGAAAACTCTTCTGTTAGAGATGGCACCATCCCAGAAAGGTTAAATCATATGTTAAAGGTCAATATCTAACTTCTAACTGGCCCAAAGTACAATTCAAGTTCAAAGAAAACAAGGAAGTAAATTAAAAACTGTAAAAACACAGATGATTATAAACATTTTAATCACAATTAGCATGTATAGTTGAAAAATTATAATTAGTGAGAGTAGACACTAAGCCCTGAAGAAACAAGTGGTGAGAAAATAAAGTGCTTGTTATGGAGCCATCAATTTAGACGTTTTTTGTCTATTAGTTTATGAAACTGGCTTTCATTTTTAATGTGTACTCCCATTTCCTGTAATTCCTCCATTTTCAAATAGAATTTCAGATTCAGAAACTCTAAATGTGACACTAGGCTTCACACTGAATTTGCTACTTTAATAACGTAAATTAGGTTTCTAGAAAATACAACAGAAAAAAAAACAGAAAACTTTTAAAAATATTTAAAAGGCACTTATAAACTCTAATTTATTGAACATCCTGAGGATGTTTATGTGCTAGGTATTACAACAGACAAAAGAATGCCAAGAAAATTAAGACTGAGTCTCTGCCTTCCAGAACTTATATTCAGTAAGAGAAGAAGGGAGAATTAAGCACAAGGTACAGTGTGATAATAACTAGGAGAACAGAGGGTATATTACATGAGTATAGCATAAAAATAGTGATTAAAAATACATTAGTTGTCAAAGTGATCTTGGTAAATTGAAATTGCCGAATCAAGCAAAATAATTTTATTCACTAAAGAAAATGTCTAGAAGAAAAATATATTTTCCCCCAAATTCTATAATCTATAACACGATAGAAATCTAACTGCCAGCCACTAAAGGTAATAAAATAACCATCAGCTAATAGCAGAGCCTAAAATAAAAATAAAAATAAAAGAATACTAAGATAATTCCTGTAAAGTGAGCTCTATTCAAACCATTAGTAGAAAATAAATTATAGAATCTAATATGTTAGATGGTTTGATAAAGTGGAATCATGGGGGTTCTTGATAAATAGCTTAAAAGGTATAATAAAACAGAAAATTTAGTAAACAAGAACTTTTTCCTTACTTTTCGTAGAATTCTGAGCTTATCTCATACCTGCTTTCTGGGTCTCCAAATAACATTTACCCAGGAGATCCACAAATCCAATCATTTTCTCTCTATTTTACACTATCTCTAAAAGTGATTTACAAGTAAATTAAAGTGTTAATCACATCAGGAAAATACCACAATTTCCAACCATTATTTAATCAGGTATGTCTTAGGCACTGCTGCAATGCTATCAACTTGCTTCCAACTGTGAAGAGTAACTAAAGGGAAGACCCAATCTTGTCCAGGGGACACCTACAATATTTTTATAACAATGAACAATTTATATGAACAATTTCAGAAGTAATTCAGAAGCAATATGGAGTTAGCATAGATTATTCATAATATTGGTGGCATCTTAAAAGGAAGAAGGCAAAATTTTTGAAAATAAGCTTATTATAAAATATTATTTGTGAAATCAAAGATCGAGGTGAGATTTTTAGCTTTAGAATTCTTTTGCGTGGCTCCAACAAGTTCTCTGTTCCCTCTGAGTCTCAATTTTTCAACTGTAAAGAAGATGTATTTTTATTCACCCAATCTGTTTCACAGAATTTTTGTGAAGATCAAATGATAAAGCACATGAACTGAAAAATACTTTAAGAGATTATGTGGGCATCTGTATTTTAGAAGCCTCAATTGGGGAATTATGGTGAGTCAGAAAAAATAGGAAAACTCGTAATAAAAAATAAACAAGTCGTAGTCTATTTTACATAATTCATGTTTGGGAGCATCTCTTACTCAGAAACAACGTTCGATTTTTCATGTTTTAGAACCTCTCATTTCCAATGAATTCCAATTTTAACTCAGTCAGCGCTGCATTTTACACATTTTGATGTCAGTGTGATATAATTAAACGCTGGGAAAAAACCTACTCCATAGTGAAAGATTTACTTACATCTCAATATTTTATCATAAAATTGTTAGATTTCCTTTGAATATTTTTACAGCATTCTGTTACTTCATTTAAAAAATTTGTATTAAAAATTACCCAAGAGTGCTTTGAGAGGGAAAAACAATCTACTATATCCTCACAAGCAGAAATAATGTCTTCCATTTTTCAATGTTCCATCTAAAATTTTTTAAAATTATACATTTTATTAATTATTATAATGTACAATTGGATGCACTACATATTTAACTTACAATTTTTAAGGTTGCTAGTCTTTATGCATTCAAATTTAGTGATAACAGAATTTTCCCTTTATCTAATACAGCATTATTTGCTTAACCATCTCTTTGTGGTTTGGTAAAAAGATTGCTCAAGAATTTTCACTATTACAAATCACTCTGATACTGAAATATTTATTGTAAGTTTTTCCATTTCATTACCATATTTTTTTATTTATAAATTCACAACTTGAGTTTCTAGAGTTGGAGCACCTAAACATTTTATGGACTACCTAGGGCAATCTTACCATTGCCACTAGTCTAATATTGCACAATTTTTTTGCAAAACCTCATTAGTATTGGCTTTCATGATTTTACAATTTTTGGTAGCTTATCAAGAATAAAATATATTGCCTTTTAAAAGAAGTTAAGCTTTTAGCTGAGAAATACATTTTAATTGCAAAGCTTTAGAAGTATTTTTATTTCAATTTGAGCCCTCCGTAAGATTCATTGAACTTCTAAGAACAGTACCTTGATCATCTTTTGCAAAATCAACCCAGAATGGGCAAAACTGAAGGTCAGAGAAAATCCTTAAAAGGACAATTGGGTGCTTCCAAAACATGACAGCTGGGTGGCCTCTAGGTGGCTTCACAATGAAGCACAGCTGGTTAAATATACCAAATTTCAGGGTCAAAATTTAACTACATTGCAGACTTAGAAAGCTGATATTTTCAGCCCATCACAAGTGAATCCATTTCTCCTAAGAAAACACACAGTACTTCTGGCTGTAAGTCTGATGTATTATACTCAGTCCAATTTATGTATTATAGATTATAATATTGGTGGTGTTTTAAAAGGTAGAAGGCACAATTTTCAAAAACAAGCTTATTATAAAATATTATTTTGCAGTCAAAGATCTGGGTTAGATTCCCAGATTTATAATTCTTTCTTGGTGGCTCCAAGCAAGTTCCATGTTCCCTCTGACTCTCAAGTTTTCAGCTGTAAAAAAGTTGTATTTTCATTCACCCAATCTGTTTACAGAATTTTTATGAGGATGAAATGATAAAGCATGTGAACTGAAAAGTACTTTAAGAGATTATGTGGGCATCTGTGTTTTAGAAGCCTCAAATGGGGAAGTATTGTAATTTACCATTAGCAATATGGCAGTCATTCAGACTGGATTTGTCTCCCCGACAGGTCTAGGAAAACTCCTCACCAGTAGGCTTACCTGGAGACTCATACTATAACCAAATGTTTGCTTGGCAGGTTCTGGTGTATAAGAAGAGGAATATTATCATTTAAATATTTAATGGCAAGAGGCTATTATAACAAGAATAATTTATGTTTACATTTGAGATAGTCAATCTTATTATTTCCCAAACTATATCTCAATGGTCTGATGAAGGAAAATAATATGTTATATAAAACATAATTTGTACTCAATAAATTCTATAAATTTTTCTCACTGCAAGACTTCTCCTGGATTTTAATATGCCAGTGTTCATTATTGATATCTAAGAGGAAAATCTCGTGAGTCCCATTTCCTAAATAGAATTTTTGGAGAAGTAGGCAGAACATCTATTAATATGTCTCAGAAATAGAGAACCAGGAAACCCAGGTTTGGATTACAGAATTATAATAATTGAAAGACTCCAGTTTTTTTCTCCCAAGATAGATGTGTGAACATCTCCATTTTGACACGCCCAACATCTATCTATAGGAAGAGAGAAACAGGACAATTAGAGTCAGTGATGAAGCAGCTACGTTGTCTGGGGTATATTGCCTGGTGTTTGTTGTCGCGTGCCAGGAAAATTTAGGACAGGGACACACACCAGCAGTTTAAGAGTGGAGGTTTAATCGGCAGAAGGGAAAAGAAAGAGAAAGAGAAACAGCTATCTCTAGGGAGAGAGGTGTCTCCCAGCAAAATGACCCTCTGGTGGCCAATGCATCGAATTTCACGGTTTGAGGTTTGAGGAGGTGGTGTCTGATTTACATCGGGCTCACGAATTGGTTCCATCAGGTATGACGTTTACATAATGTAGGCAAAGGGAAGGCTGGTCACTCCACCCTAATCTAACAATGCAAATGGGCGTTCCAGTTGCTCGGCACCATCTTGTCTGCTTCTTACTGTATATATTCCTGACAAAGGGAAGGGAAGATGGAGCCGCCATCTTGAATACGTCTAGTGCTTAGTTCCTGCCACATTCACAGGGGCAAGCTCCCAGCTTGCTTCTCTGTGTCTGCAGCTCAACTTTACAGGCCGTTCGTTAGAAAATGATTTCGGACTGCTTTTCATTAAAAAGGAAAGCCTTACCAGGACTTCCATACTCTCACTATCTGCCTAAGTAATTTATTCTTAACTCCTGTATCAGTGAGACTCAAATTACTGAATTGTTGAGAAGCAGAAACTACCTGGATTGT